TGGTTGCTTTCGGTGAGATTCGTAATTTCAGCCCAGTTTTGATGACGCAAATGCAATTAAAAGACCAAATAATGTCGCATTTCAGGTGTTTGTGATGATTTTGTACAGAATGCAGGTTGAATCTGGAGGGGTAATAACCACTGGTTGGGCCAAGCCGTGGCGAGCACACGATGCTCACAATGCTTTGCCATTGGCACCAAGGGGCGGGGTACCAACGGCGTTATGTAATCAGCTGCAGAAATGTACCACGTTCGTTTGTGGTAAATTTCCGCACATGCAGCAAGAGGACTGACGTTACAAATGGCAGGAACCATGAAAAGGAAAGAAACCCCCGGGTGGTACCTGGCTGGGTTTTCCCAACAGGCAACAGCACAACCCGTCCATCCTGTTGAATCTAATAGACAAGCTTTGCTTGGCCTATTTCGCTCAGTCACGCCAAAAAACAAATAAGAAAGCAAACAAAACCTACAGACCTCGCCATTCTCTCGCCATGTCTATCCTATTCGTCGTCAACAAGACTGCACGAACCCGAGCGGTGCAGCAGCCTCTGCTCCATCACCACCAACAGGCATGAGCCCACGCAACGCACACCTGCTGCCTCCGTCCATGACTTGACCAAGATATCTGCGTGGTCCACGTTCCCCGTCGCGATCCTGTATGTTCTTGGTTCTTGTGGGTTTGTGGGTTGGTGTGTCAACGCAAAAGAAGAACATAGACTAACTTGCCCTTGCGCGAAACAGGGAATCTACTGCGTTCCCATGTCTTTCTACCCGCAAGAGAGGCACCAAGCTGTCGGCTAGGGCGCGTCGCAGTCCTTTCCCACCCATGGGACCTCCAAGTCATTCCCGACAACGTCAACGACGACAGAGCTCGATGAGCTTGTGCTCCCACGCCTCCACTCCCTCGCTCTCTGACCCCATGTCTCTTTTCGTCCTCTTAACACCGTCATTCTTCCGCAGTTCCGCAGCGAGGTCCGCCAAATTGACCACTAATGCGTCGTTGGCAATTGCGTCGTTCCGCGTCGGTTCGAAAGCTCTTCCCCACGCTACCGATGGAGTCAGAAAGTCACCACTAGCTGGCTTGGAAGCGTCGACACGGTCCAGACTTAGCTCTGGACCTTGTTAAAACAGAACATGGCTGGCATCTATGTGCACTTTTCGCCACCTTGCACTAGCTTTACCCTCTGTCAACACCCAGTATGCCTGTGAGGCGGTTACCCCCTCACTCCCAAGACAGGAACAAACGCACACGCAGAAACCGGCCTAAACCCATGTCTCCACTATTGTGGACAAGAACCGGAGACAACAAGTCAAAAATGACGTTCAAGAGCAGACCCAACAGCCCCAGTCCATTTAGAAGCGATAATAGCTAACTGTGGTCCTCTGTGTCTATCCTCAAGAGATGCGAGTGTGGAAAGAAAGCTCACAAGACTTCTGACAACTCTCAGCACCTCGGTAATAATGCTGGCATAATGACAATCAGCGATCGATCTTGAAGCACAGGCTATTGAGTTAACCTCATGCGCAACACTCACCCCGGTAATAGCACTGTGTTTACTGTTGTTTAGTTTGCCAAGCGTGACCTCGGCTAGCTTAAGAAGCACCTATTAGGTGCTCGTTTTCGTTGACTTCATCGCATCCAACAAGACGCTAAGCACGCAGGCGAGTTAGAAAGCTTGGCGTGTGGGTTAGATGCCTGTGGCCATGAGCTCTCTTGCCTTGTTTTAGGTAACTAATGCTGCATTATAGAGTCTCGTATGGAGATGAGCAAGAGCATCATGGGGCTGGACCCAGAAAGGAAAGTAAACTGTGCATCCATACGGGGAATCCAGCGGAAACTGTGGTAGGGACTCGCAGCGGTTCTGATGTTACGTGGTCGTCCTGGTAGATGGTGTTACATCCTTCTTGTAGTCAATTAAATATTGCTTCTGGTTAGAGACAGAAATACACTGATAAAATATCTAGAAGCGACTTACCTAAACGGGACTGTAGCTTTTGCTGGTGTCTTGGGCCTCGCTGTCCTGGGACAGAATTAGTCACGTCGCCAGGGCTAATCGGCATAGGTGTAGAGCCTCTTAGGATGGCGGAGAGGTGGGGGACCTGTGGAAGAAGATGTAGGGGAATTAAGAGACTGGGAATTGGTGAGAAAACGAGGTTGTTGATGTGGGGCGATGGGGTGTAAAGAACAATGTGTCAAGTGATTTGCTGAGGTAGAGCGGGAACCAGAGGACGTGATGCAGTATGGGGGAGAGGGACTTTTAGCGCAACGGCAAATTATGTAACCAACTGCTAAAGATTTGGGTTGAATACCCCCACCAATACTTGCCGTGTCCCGTGAACAACGCCATTTTCTCCCCCATCAGGGAAACCATCAACAGCACTATTACGATTGTAACGTGTCTAACCTCGAACCGAGTATTACATGACTAAACATCCCAACCGACCACTGCCTTTGCTTATCGCAAATGTTATATCGTGAGCGACGTCGGAACTGTTTCCGAGACCATCACCCTACCTAAGCGGAGTCAAACAGCCGCCCATCGTCAATCGCCCGTATCAACACCGTCGTCCACGCTTGCCAGATCCCCGATTCAATCACTCAAGTCGGCATCCCCTGCGCCTCCAAGCCAGCCTTCCGCAGCTATCGAGATCAAAGATTCTTGCCTCCGGTTCAGCAACGTCATCAATGGTGAGGCGCTGCACCAGTCTTTGGAGCAGTACCACGGCTCATTACACTGGGAAGAGGTTTAGGCACAGGACCAACATTTCAACGTGGCCAACAACTCCCTTGTCAACAAGTTCAACAACGTAGATATCTCTGTCGCCACCACCTCTCCCATTAACGACTCCTTCAGTGTTAACAGCAAGAACCCCCAAGTAACAAATTAGAGACTTGTACAGCATAGGTCTGTGATTTAGAATTATCAGTTCCAAGACCATTGTTACTAACATCAAAACCACGGACGGCTCAGGAGACAAAACCCAACACACAAACTACGTTACCTCTTCAACATACCACAAAAGGTCAAAGGCCCCCAATTCCCGCGCCAATTCTGCTTCTTACTAGCTGAGGATGAACTTGTCTACCAAACGCCTGCGGCTGGATGCCTTCTTGCATATGTCGGCCTCCGACGCGGAGGAAGCCATCGAGGAGAATTAGTGGATCACATCTGAACAACTGATGCACGCAATCGATTAGATATATAACACGTTGGAGACCAGCATGGATAGAGTGCTGGTTGTTGACTCTCTCGATACTCGGAACATAATGGAAGCCAAATATGTATTATTATGTCACGGCATGCTCAAGCCTGTCTTGAAAATGACCTTGATTTTGCTTCCGTTACATCTTGACAACAACTACTAGACGCTTGCGGCTTAAAACATCGATTTGCGGCAACACTAATTAAAATGTTTGACTTGCTACCCTCTTACCATAGAACGTTCCAGGCGCAGGGCCTTATATAAAGCCTCGCTTGACATCAACTTTTATCGCCGCCGGCTCGACTTGTTATATCCTGGGCAGCCCTCTTCGGACAAACACTTCAGACCGCTCAGTCTACACCTTTGGTTTGCTCTGCTCAAAGCCACAGGCCGCGATCTACCGGCACGCATCGATCCAAGGCTGTGGCCCCGTATTTTTGCCGGAAGCCTACGCAAGGGGCTGTCGGCAAACCTGATGAGTCTCCTGCCGACACAGTCTCCGAGCGAACTTACGCCACAGGCTTCGCCAACCAGCAACACGTTGAGCCGACTGGAGTAGACGAAAGCACTCCAGACTGAGTGGAAACGGATGAGAATGGAACACGCTCACGAGCTCAAGGAATTCAATACGGGGCTCTGTCGTACATGTCGCGTTTTAGGTCCTGAAGGACACAGACCAATCAAGCAAGTGAATGGATCGGCCGTACCATGTATGCATACTTGTGCTCAAGGACGGACTGACGGATAGTAGAGGCGTCTGGACCAAAGTTCGGGATGAGAAGCGCGGGGAGGCGGCCGGTGTTGCGCACGGGCCACTGTCCGCATCAGTGGCAGTGGTGGCAGTGGTGGCGCATGGCGGCAAATAGACATATCAGATAAACTATACTGCCGGGCAACTCCGCGGATAGATATAGTAGATATCTTTTTACTAGCCTGGTCAAATCAGCCGGCCCGTTGCTGGGCGGCAAATACTACTTCGTTGGCCTTTTTGGCAGTGGCTATATTCTTGTCACTTTGGCGGGGCATATTGGCTGTGTTAGATAGGGATGATTGGTTTAGATAGTATTGATATTTGTAGTAGACATATCTCCCTCAGCACTCAATTCCTCCTGTGCTTGTTGTGCACGTGACACCGCTGGTATCTCTCGGAACCAGAAGGAATCTTCTTTTCCAGTACTCTCACAACAAGGTTTATAGTGTTTAGCGGTGGTTGTGGTAACGTAACAATGAGTAAGCACGTACAGCACTACTATGACACTACCGTAAGCACTCGCTAAATAGAGTAACCACTAGGGAGCAAGCTAGCTGATGGTAGCTAGCGAGTACTAGATCCGCTAAGCCTAAAATAGAAGGCAGTTAAACTACCTTGCTAACCTCAAGTCTGTTTGCTAGCCCTTGACACCTAACTTGCTGCTAACATACCATGTATAACTAACCCCTGCTTTTGCTACATCTAGGCCCCTGTTTCTGCCAGCACATTATACATTTTACAGCAGCCGCGATACCCCTTGCCGTTAGCTTACTCCCTAGCGGTTATTCTACTTAACAAGTGTGTACGGTAGGTATGCTGGTGCGGGGTAGAGCTCATGGATAACTGGCTGGAGCCAAGGCTTGGAGTTTGCCACAAGGGTGTTAGAATTTAGTGCAGTACAGTACAACCGGAACGCAGAGGTTTTTTTTTGTCACGCTGTTCATCTCCTTGTGATAGGTGTGCATGTAAGCGGGATAGTAACCAACAATACTTTTATGATAATAAGGCTGCTAATACCACTCATTCCCGCAACCAATTTGCCAATGTCTTCATCATTCCTTGCTCCTCTTCGCGCAGGCTACAAGATGATTCCAAAGAATGGTGCCCAAGGGACCGCTCGCCCGGCTTCTCCAGATGTTGGGCAGAGCGAGGATAACATGCCTTTCCCCCAGCCGTTGGCCTACCGATTATTTCATCGAAAAGCCTACACTGGCGCCCTTATGTTCAACCTCTTTTCCTTTATTCTCCCAGCCCTCTACAGCACTCTCTCGAAGTTGTGGGTCGCTAATATTGACTCTTCACTTGTTGTAACCACCGACGCCTACACTTACATCGGCGTAGTTGTAGAGGTTCTTAATGAAGGCCTCCCGCGAGCGGCATGGGTCATCATCGGCGACCAAGCCTCTCGCACTCATGCACAACGGCTCCAGCTCACTCACACACTCATTACGTTTCAGTCAATCTTGGGTTTGATTATGAGCCTGGCATTCGTGGGTGGTGCCAAGACATTCGCTGATGGCTTCTTGCCTGTTGAAGTCCGCGACGTGAGCGTTACATACGTGCGCATCGGAGCGTTCAGCGCATTCAGTTCTTCAATTGAGACGGCCGTTGCGTCGGCTACAAGGGCACTTGACCGACCTGATGTTCCGTTGATCATAAGCTCCGTCAAGTTTGCTGTCAATATCATACTGGATCTTTTGATCATCTCGAAGATTCATGTTGGATCTCATCAGCCCACTGTCAACATGCAAGCAGGGATCCAGCTCGCTTGCAACCTTACATCGGCGCTTGTGGGCCTAACATACTTTCTCTGGAGCAACACTCTTCGATACCAGAGAGATAGGGCATATGATCGAGAGGAGTGGGGTGCAACAAAGCCCAGTGTCAACGCGCTTCTAGTCTTGCTACGTCCTGGTGTCCTGACTTTCATCGAGTCAGCTATCCGCAATGCGCTTTATCTCTGGCTAGTCAGCAACATCGTGTCGATGGGATCAACGTATGCGACAGCGTGGGGCGTTTTCAACACGATTCGATGGGGGCTTATCATGGTCCCCGTGCAAGCCCTCGAACAGACCTCCCTTGCCTTTGTCGGTCACGCATGGGGTAGCTGGAGAGGGGCTCTTGGGGTTGAATCCCGCCGTTCAAAGGCCACGAAGCATGGCATCTACAACATCACTCGACCAGCTCTCGTTTCCCTCGTCATGGCTCTTATTGTTGAAGTTCCTGTCTGTTTGTTCCTGACATTCTTCGGTGCCTATCCTTTCGCCCGATATCTTAGCGGCTCAAACGAGGTTGCCAACGTGACGGCAATGATGTGGCGAACCATCGACTGGTGTTATATCTTCTACGCCATGTCTACGATGCTAGCGACAGTCTTGCTAGCAACACGACCAAAATGGTACCTTTGGCAGAGTCTAGCGAGTAATTTGCTCTACGTGTTGCCGTGGGCTATTGTCTGTCAAGCAGCAAACTTGTCGGCCGATAGGGCTTGGGCCTATCATAGTCTTGTTTTTGGGGGTAGTCTTGTCTTCAGTTTTGTTACTATCTGTTTTGTGGATGGCCTTTGGGTCTGGGCTTTAATGACTGGGAGGATGAGACTTGAGCGATTCAGGTTTTGATTGACAAGCGGACTATTGCGTTCCGAGGAACTTTCTCAAGCCTTAATATTACAACTGATCAATTTCTTGACTATAGCCTTTTGCCCGTGAAAGTACTGGACTTCACTGATACCTTGAATGATGCCAGCCTCGAGCCCCGCGATTGTCTTCGACTTTGGAAAGCCATGATCAAGTACCAGACAGAGACATAAAGTGGCAAACAGCCTAAATCCTGAAACTACCCTGCTGGAGCTGATCGAGAAGTCGAAAGTCATCGATTGGGACTTTGCGCTTAATAGGCAACTTTTGCAATGTATGGCGAGCCCTCGATCGCCAACCAACAAAGGATACGATGAGCTGAAGACCTAGACCACGAGTCGAAAGAAGAGTAGTATCCTAGCTAAGCTAACAGAATCTACAAAGACTGCGGGCGTCATCAGCTTCAGCTAAGAACGCGTTGGCTACTTAAGCGCAGTGCCATATTAAGTAGTTCCTCTTGGACTTAATCTTTCCTGCTATCTAGTATAAGAGTACTAGAACTTGACCTTGTGATTACCCTCACAGGACTTACTTTTGTTACTAAACTAGCTACTAATTATATAGAGTTAGAAGGGTTCTAACGGATATTAGCTTGCTTATAAATACTGTAAGGAGTCAAGAAGTGTCTAAAATAAATAAATTGAAACCACCTAGACCTTAGATACACAGGTTAACAACTATAATAGGCTAAGTAGGTAAATCTTAGAATATATATATCTAGTAGAGCAGGGATACCGGAGGGCAAGGGTAGGGTTAGGGCCAGGAGGTAGGCGGTTGGTGTAGGAGTGTTTATGTGTGTGTGTGTGTGTGTGTGTAGGAGGGAGGGAGGGAGGGAGGGAGGGTAGTAGTAGCCCTGTAGGGCTTAGGAAGGGAGGGAGAGAGAGAAAGGGTAGTTATTAAAGTGCGTAGATACAGTAGTCAATTACAACAATATCCCTGGTCTATTAGGCGTATATTAATAGTGTATAACTATTAGTGTTATAGTTAGTAATCTAACAGTAGGGTTTCTACTAGAAATAAGCTAGGGCTAATACTTAGTTAACAGTAGTATAGACTTTGCTAGCTTATTAATCACTTAGTAATTAGTTAGGTAGTTAATAGTTATAAAGGTAGCTTATATAGCTTCTTGTTAATTAAATTACTAAGGTTAAATTGTAAAGGGATTGGCTATGGGCCTTGATTGGGGAGGAAGATAGGGGGTGGTTATGTTGTTAGAATTCAACTTGGCCTTCTAACTAGGTCTCTAGCTAGGGCTGTTCTTATATCTGTATGTGCGATGCCTAAGGTATCACTAAAGGCTTGCTGACTAATTGCCCAAATCTTATCCCTAGTATCCCACCTATTGACCTAGGGGACTAATATCCTTATATAAATACTAAAAAGTATTTAAAGAATATATTATAAAGTTAATTACTAAAGAGCTATAAAAGTCTATCCTTAAGTATATCTAAGTTTATCTTATATATAAGTCTTAATCTTTTTAATAACTAATAGTTATAAGTAATTATTATCTTTATATAAGGTAAATACTTAGTAAATACTAGTAAGCACTTACTTTAGTAATTACTAGTAATTACTTTATCTTTATAATTACTTCTTTATCTTTATATAACTTATACTATAGTTCTTATAAGTCTAAGAGGTTATCTTAGTTTAACTTATTATTAGTTTTATATAAATACTATATTACTTACTAGTTACTGTTACTTAGTAAGGTAATATTACTTATAACTTATTAAGTTATAATATTAGGTCTTTTTAAAGGTCTTATATTTAAGACCTATATAAGTAAGTTACTACTTCTAGGTTAAGAAGTTACTAAGTTCTTTATTTTTTATTTTTTTAGCTAATATAATATCTAGTAAAAAAAGTTATTAAAAAGCTTCTTTAATATAGTACTATTTAAAGCTAACTTTAGAAATTAAAGAGTTTAGTTTTAATATAATACTTTATTTTTTTTATTAGTTAGTAGGTTACTACTATAAGATACTTACTAAGAAATTAAAGTATTATAAGTATATTTACTATAGTTATATTTATAATATAACTATTAATACTATTTATAAATATAAGTATCTTTATTATACTTTACTTATACTAGTTAACTTATTAGTAATAAAGTATCTTTTAACTAAGTTTACTTAGTTAAATTATATAAAAAAAAGTAAAATAGCTTTTTTAAAAGTATACTAAAGTACTAAAGAAAGCTTAAGCTAAGAAAAATAAATCTTTAGTAAAGTTAGATTACTTTTATTAAGTAAAGTAAATAATATTTAAGAAAAAGTAAAGTATCTTAGATATTATTCTTAAGGAGTCTATAGAAATACTATTAAAGTCTAATATTATTTATAAGGTCTAAGCTAATAGTAGTTTTAAGGTAATTAATAAAAGTAAAGTCTTTAGCTAAAGCTATTTAAGTTTAATTTTAGTATACCTTTAGTATTATCTAGGTATACTAGAGGTTTTTAATTAGCTTTTATAAGTTATTTTTATATTTATAGCCTTTTTATTTAACTAGGTATTATTTTTTTTTATTCTTATAGTATTTATCTATAATATATTTAACTTTATATTTTAGTTTACTTAGTTCTATAATAATATAGTTATTAGTATTTAATCTTTATAGTACTAGTTTAAGTAGTATAATATAAAAGACTAGGTGTATTTTTATTATTTCTAGTAAGTTAAGTTTATAGTTAACTAGTAAGATTTTCTTAAGGATTTTAAAAACTCTAAGTTTTTTATAATTAAGTTTATTACTTAGTTATTTAGTCTTAATATTTTAGTAAATAAGATATATACTATCTGGTTTTTTTTAAGGTTAGTCTTTTAATTTTTATTAATTAGTATACTTTATTATTTATTACCTAATAAATTTAAGGTCTCTTAAGGCTAATTCCTAGAGTTCTTAAATTTTATTAAAGTTAGCTAACGTATATTAAGAAAAAAGTAAAGCGTCTAGGCTACTTAATAAAGAAAAAAAATTAGTAGAATATAGAAAAACTATCTATACTATAATAATGTCTAATAATAATAATATATATATTAATTAATAGGTCTTATAATTCTTAGACCTAATCTATAAGAATATTAGAATAAAGGTATAAATTAATAAAGTAATTATAAAAAAAGTAAATTTTACTAAATAAATAAAAGTATAGTAATAACTAGTAGTTTATTTCTATGTAAAGTATTAAGGCTAATAATAATAACTATATATAAATAATTATATCCCTCTTAATCTTTTCCTAGGTCTATATATCCTTTTTTTAATAAGTAGGTAGCCTTCTTATTAATTTATCCCTTGTATTAACTACTATATAATTCCTAAGACTATACTACCTAACTCTATTATAATTATCCCTTAGACCTATTACCTTAACCTTAAGTAAAAGGTCTAACTAATTCTTAGACCTAAGAACTAAAGAAAGAACTAAAGAAATAAAAGAAAAAAAAAGAGAAATAATTTAGTGCTTATAGTAGTACTTAAGTTACTTTAGTAGCTTAGGACCTTTCTTTACCTTTACTTTATAATAATATTACTATATTTAAGTTTATAACCTTTATACTACAAGAGGTCTATAAATCTTTTTTATTAACTTAGTCTTATTTAAGTCTTTAATATAGTTAAAACTAGCCTTTTTAGAAAATAAATATAAAAGTTATAATAATATATATAATTAAGAGTATTAGCTTTAGTTATTTTTATTAGTTAATATACTAGTCTATAAAGGATTTTTAAAAGTAATAGTATATATCTAGGTTATCTTATAAAGCTAGATATAGTAGATAATAAAGGATAGTTAAGCTTTTATTAACTTTAAGGTTTTATACTTAAGCCTTAAGATCTTTATAATTTAAAAGACTAAGTAGTATATTTAATAATAAAAATCTTTTTATTATTCTTAGTTTAGGTCTATAAATTATTAACTAGGTTTACCTAACTTATTTATACTACTAAAGGTACTATTAAAAAGAAAAGGTTTTTATAAAAGTTATCTTTTAAGTATATAATAATATATAGAGAAAAGTTCTTATATATATTATTATACTTATAAAAGTCCTTTAAGATAGTAAATATATCTTATATAGTAATAGAGATTTATCTAGGTTTTATATAGTTTTTATTAAATTAGCTTATCTATTAGAATTTAAGAGATAATATACTAAGGTAAAAAAAGGTTCTAGTCTACTTTACTACCTAGAGACTATAAGTAAAGCTATTATCTTATTACTATATATTAACTATATATATACTTAATTTAATAATACTAAGAAGGTCTATAAGTATACTTAAATAGTAATACTACTACTAAAGTAATTTAATTATATTTATAAATAATAAATTATAAATAAAGGTCTAACTAAAATCTATAAAATAAACCTTACTATTAATCTAGTTAACTAGAAGTAAAGTCTAGTGTTATCTCTAATAGTTAAGAAAAAAGATAAGAATATTAATATTTATAATATCCTTAATATCTCTCTTTATAATATTAATAGTATTAGGTGTAATAGTATAACTAGAGGTCTAACTAATACCTATAAATAGTATATACTAGGATCCTTTTATACTATAAGCTTTAAACTTAATTAAGGTAATAATTTCTTTATTATTAAAAGGTTCTTTTCTTTATAAAGTACTAGTAGTATTATATAGATTTAAAAAATATTAAACTATATTTTAATTAATAATATTATTTATATATATTTATTATCTTATTAGTCTAAATTAGGCCTAAAGATTATAGTATAATTTATTTATAGCTTTATTTTTTAAAGGTAAATACTATTTAATAGTAAGGACTAGGTTAAACTAGTAAAAAAATAAAGTAGTATACTCTCTTTTTAATATATACCTATAAATACTATTAGCTTTAGTATACTAGTAAGTACTATAATTAAAAACAGTAAAATATAGTAACTTTATAGCTAATATAGATTTATTTTTTTTAAGTCCTAGTATTTAGTAATTACTATAGGATTAGGTCTACTAATAACTTTCTACCTATAGTCTATAAAT